GAACTATTTTCCAGATTTCTTATCTTATTCGGGTCAACTAATCTAGATTTTGCTGTTAGGTTTATATGCTCGGCTAGTCTGACTGACTGCACCTGTTCTACTAATTTGTTTTCTCCTTCACGTTCCCCAGTGGAACATAGGGCTTCAAGCTAGTGGCTTGAAGTTTCTGTAGCAGTGGTGATTATTTTTACAGGATGGGTTTGCAAACGTCATGCCCAACCTTTCCTCTTAACCAGCATTATTTCTGGCTTAGCGAGGTAAAGGATTGATCCCCGGACCATGTGCATGATCGGCCAGCATCCTAACCCCTATGCCACCGACCTATGTACTTGACCTGACAATCACTGCAGGTAGGGTATTAGATAAACTAAATTGTTTTGTTTTATTGGCTCCACAGGAATGATTCTTTAACCGACAACGCTTGTTTCTAATTGAGTTTGTGGTTGATTTGAATGCCAGCCACTTTCATTCCTGCATTGTTAAGAATTCTGAGTAAGGTGGTTTCTGAAGTTTCTTCCTTGTATGGAATTACTACTGAGGGTTAAGATTACCTATTGTTGGTGTTGTCATTATCTGGTGCATGTTTGAAATGCCTGTCGTCATCAATATTACTATTATCATTATTATTATTACTATCACTATCACTGCTATCATTATGTATTTTATTTTTACATTTCCCTACATATTTCCTGACTAATTTATCAGGGTAATTATCAGGTTTCACAGCTTCTCTTATATGCCTCACCTTCTATCTTAGATTTTCCTAGATACTACTAAGTTTTTGTGCTCTATCACTTAAACATTTCACCAATTCTATTTTCACTGACATAGGACGGGATGATCGGAAGTCCAAATATATGTTTGAATGTGTGGGTTTCCTGTAAACACACTAGTGTGTTTAACTTCCCGTCTTCTATCCTTTTTACGCTGCAATCTAACATTGGAAGCTCCTTCTGCTTCCTGACTTTCCAATTCCTCATAAGTGAATTGATGAATCGCCTCCACCTTTAAGTTAATGTATTCGAAAAATCTATCTATATCCTGTGTTCTAAGTACAGTGTATGTGTCATCTACATACCTCCACCATATGAATCACGTCTTCTTATTGCTTTGTCTAAACATGAATTTCGTCATATCAATCATAATTCTCCATCGTAATGCATGTTAGAAAGTCAACTAGTGCATTCATTGAGGAGTTGACTTAACTTTTGTCTAGTAATCAGAAATAAGAACAAACTGTCTACATCGACATCACGTTGAGAACAAGCGTTAAACCATTTAATCATTACGTCATAAGAGTTCACTAAACACAGAAGACGATGATTTCTATATGTTTCTGTTATCTGTGTGTGCGTGTGTGTGGGCGCTCGCTAGGTGGATGGACGTCGCTCTCCATCCATTCTTCACGTTGAATGATACAGGCAAACTACAGTTTTAAATATCGCGTTAGTCGTCCACTGGTAGAATGCTCGATAGGTGAAGCTTCAGATTCGATTCTCAGATGACAACACACTCTTGAATCTCTCCTAACCTAAATAGTAATCTCAGAAAAGATGGAAGGTTGGGCTTGAGAAGTACTTCAAGTTGGTTTGAAGCCTTATTTATGTTCCACTCAGTACGTAAAGGAATAATGACCATTGATACATTGAAACATTGAATGTATACACATAAATTTAAATTGACTCATTCATTCATTGATCAGATCGCCGCATTACGGATCATCATTGAACAAAGTTTGTAATGGCAGTCACCTCTCTATTTCAACTTCATCGACTTTGAAGTGGACTTCGACAGCGCAGCGTCGATCGAGAGGTGATTTGGAAACTACAACGCTGCTATGGCGTGCCACCGACAATTATACATCTCATCCAATAGTTATACGACAATGCTGCATGCCAAGTAATCCACAACAGGACGCTTACGGAATCCTTCGAAGTGAGGACAGGAGTAAGAAGGGCTGGCTGCCTACTATCGCCAATGATTTTACTGATTGCAGTAGACTGGATAATGCGACAGACAGTGGGCAATGAGGAAACAGGCATAAAATGGACTCACACAAAAAACCTGGAGGATCTGGACTTCGCCGATAATATATGTCTGATTTCCCACAAACTGGAAGATATGCAAGCGAAAAGTAACAAGTTGGCAGAAGAAGCATCAAAGATAGGACTTCTTTAAGGTGAACATAGAGAAAACAGAGGTAATGAAGATTCCTGGACAAGAACAACAACAACAACAGACAATGATCAGCATAAATGGGAGGATCCTGAAAGAAACTACCTCCTTTACCTACCCACCTACCTGGGAAGCATCGTCTCAACTACAGGCGGACTGAACTGATGGGGATATCAAAACAGCGAGGATGGGGAAAGCAAGACAAGCTTTCACTACTCTCAAGCCTGTGTGGAGGTCAACAGCACTCAGCATCAAAAATAAGATCCGGATTTTCAACTCCAATGTGAAGTCAGTCGGTGCTACTTACTATACGGATCAGAGACTTGCACTGCGCGTCATAAAGAGCATCTCAAACAAACTACAGACCTTCATTAACAGTTGTCTTCGCTCAATACCACTCAAGATCAGATGCCTGGCCAGAAAAGATCAGTAACAGAGATCTCTGGCAATGAGCGAACCAACACAGCAGGAACCGATTGTGAAACAAATAGGCAGGAAGAAATGGAGGTAAATTGGCCATACTCTGAGGAAACCATCAAGTGACATCACTAGACAGGCTATCCCTCAAGTGGAACCCGAAATGGAAGCGGCGAGTTGGTCGTCAGTGCAAGAGTGGGGTGACTTGGAGGAGGTGATGTGAAGAGGAGATGAAAGCGTGTGGGCAGACTTGTAGCCAGGTGAAAACTCTAGCAGAGAACCAAACGCAATGGAGACGCACGGCTGACGCCCTATGTTCCTGTAGGAATTAAAGGAAACAATAATAATAATTCATTCATTTTAACAGCATATTCAATATTATTTTATTGTAAATTGAACTAAGCATAAATACATATTTAATACTCAGGAATATAGAAGTTAGTTAATCACTGACCATTACGACTAGAAATAAATCGATGCGTAGTAAGTAATTTATTTTGAAGTAATGCAATGTACTGTTTGTTTCCTGTGACTTCATCTCATTCGGGTATGGATATGGATATAGCCTTTAGAAAAAAACGAGAAACGTGTACGGTAGAGAGAAAAACAAAAGTGGGGAACAGTTTAAGCACAGAAAGCACAAAAAGCACACACACATTTAAAACTTTTCCATGTGACTGACTGTTGGTTCTCTGAGATGGTTAGTTAGGTAGTTTAACAGCGAAACTTTCATTATGCTTCTGGACGAGATCACTTCACGACAAAACCTTCAGTATGAAGTGAATGAAACTGATGGATAGAATCGAAAATTTCAGAAGATTGATTATTGAACAAAGAATGCTCTAAATATATATGTGTAAAACTTGGGCATTGTGGTAGTAAGTAATTCCATATTAGTTTGTTTATTAGATGTATCACACAGTCAGTGAAACAGTATTATTTAATGGATGACACAGTTTCGAACACAATTTATTCATTGTTCATAATCATTTAGAAAACAGAAAGATTGAGCAAAGAAATATGTACTTTTCAATTAGATCCTCATCTCACTCTGGCTCTACTCTAATATATTATGTATAGCATTTTTATTACAATACACAACAGTTTACCAAACAAGTGGCACTGATATGTTTGTTAACAATAATTAGTCAGTGTCAAAATGTCAATGGGTTGATAATAAACGAAGAAAATCAATACACATTTAAAAGGTAAAAATGGATAGAATAAATTAATTTTACAAGGATAACACGTAATTAAAGACGAAGTGGTTAAAATAAAAATAAAATAATTTGGAGAATTATAACCTAATAGGTTTAGGGAGATCTATTCGTAGTTCTATTTTAGCACACCTTGTTGATACTGAGCATAAGGTTAATGTTAATACTGCATTTAAAATTATTTATCGCATTCTGACTAATCTCAATTTCGCCCTACGAGTTCGTCTTCTACAGAGAGCTGAAGCAATAGGAATCCACCTGAAGAAGCCAAGCCTATGTGTTCAGAAGAAATTTGTACAGCCTCTTTCCTTACCGAGGCCGTCGTTACAAGAATGCATAAACAGGATTGCGTCGCCCCCCTCCCCCTAAATCTTTAAAAACTATAAAAATTATAAGTGTCCGAATTATTTTATTTTTATTTATTTTGACCACTTCTACCTTTTAGATGTGTAGTGATTTTCTTCGTTAATTATCACCCCACTGACATTTTGACACCGTTTAATTATTGTTAACAAACAAACATATCAGTGCCACTTGGTTGGTAAACTGTTGTGTATTGTAATAAAAATGCTATACATAATATATTAGAGTAGAACAAGAGTGAGATGAGGATCTAATTGAAAAGTAAATATTTCTTCGCTCAATCTTACTGTTTTCTAAAAGAGATAGTTCAGCAGGAATGGAAAAAATTCATTTCCTAAATGAAAAATGATAAGAAAATACTTCTTTATACCTTCAAAATTGAAAATTTTCTCATTCCTTTGAGTTCTCAGTGGAACATGCAGTTTCAAGCTAGAACCTTAAAATTTCAATGGGGCTGGTGTTTTATTTTTACGGAGTTGGATTGCGAACCTCACACCCAACCTTCCCTCTTTATGGGGCTTACTACTACTACTACTAATACGGATTAAACGATGTTTACGAGTGTGTCAGAGGGGAATCAAACCAGGATCATATCCTTCTTTGAGGAACACTACCGACGCACACCTGTGCATCGGTGGCACAGAAGTTAGGACACTCTCTGACCATACAAATAGTCCGGGGGTTCGATCCCCTGCCGACGCACACCTGGTCGGCCTACAAAAAATTTGGGCTATCAATATCACATGCTGAAAATCCCATACTTGTCGCAAAAAAATACGGTGTGGAATCAAGCTGTAATCAAATTATTATTATTATTATTAGCATCATCTAACTTACCGATGATCTTTTCCGATATTTTGTCGATGGAAAAATCAATTCCTGATAGGATCGTATCGATGAAGCTGTTTCACTCCCCATATAATCTTGACGTAGTCTATGACTGTGTCTTTTACGACAGTATAATACGCAAAATCCCAAAAATCGATAATAATATCCTAATATGCTATATTTCAAGAATATTTGATAAACAGCAAAAATTAGAGCCTACAAAAAACAAACAAAAATAAGCAACAATTCACACACACAGATTGAGAAAAGCGACACTCTGAGAATGGAAACTGATTGGTCTAAACTATAATAGCTCAAAGCGCCCAACAATATCAACAACAGAAGCAGAATTACCAATGAACATCAACAACCCCCTCCACGACGAGAACAGAAGTCCTGAAGGCTATCAAGATGCTGAAAGCTGGAAAAGCAGCAGGATCAGATAGAATTCCAGCAGAAGCATTGAAAATGGACCCAACGACAACAGTGAACTTGATGACGCCACTACTGGAGAAGGTGAGGAAAGAAGGCAAATTACACGAGGATTGGAAGAGAGGGTACTTATTCAAACTACCAAAGAAAGGAGACTAAAGTCAATGCAAGAACTGGCGTGGAATTATGCTCCTGTCCATTCCAAGCAAAGTACTAAGCCGCATCATCCTGGAGAGAATCAAACAAGCCCTGGATGAAAAACGTCGACTGGAACAGGCTGGATTCAGGAGAAACATGTCATGTGTTGATCAAATCGCCACATTACGGATCATCATTGAACAAAGTTTGGAATGGCAGTCACCTCTCTATCTCAACTTCATTGACTTTGAAAAGGACTTCGACAGCGCAGTGTCGATGGAGAGGTGATTTGGAAACTGCTTCGCTACTCCTAAGGGGTGCCACCGATAATTATACATCTCATCCAACAGTTGTACGACAATGCTACATGCCAAGTAATCCACAACGGAAAACTTACGGAATCCTTCGAAGTGAGGACAGGAGTAAGACAAGCTGGCTGCCTACTATCACCAATGATTTTCTTGATTGCAGCAGATTGGATAATGCGACAAACAGCGGGAAATGAGGAAACAGGCATAAAATGGACTCACACAAAAAGAGAACTTGGAGGATCTGGACTTCACCGATGATATATGTGTCTGATTTCCCACAAACTGGAAGATATGCAAGCGAAAAGCAACAAGTTGGCAGAAGAAGCATCAAAGATAGTACTTCCTTCAGGTGAACATAGAGAAAACAGAGGTGATGAAGATTTCTGGACAAGAACAACATCAACAGACAACAATCAGCATAAATGGGAGGAACCTGAAAGAAACAACCTCCTTTACCTACCCACCTACCTGGGAAACATCGTTTCAACTAAAAGCGGAACCGACGAGGATATCAAAGCAAGGATTTGGAAAGCAAGACAAGCTTTCGTTACTCTCAAGTCTATGTGGAGGTCAACACTCAGTACTCAGCACGAAAAATAAGATCCGAATGAGGTCCCGATTTTCAACTCCAATTTGAAGTCAGTGCTACTATACGGATCAGAGACTTGCACTGCGCGTCATAAAGAGCATCTTAAACAAACTACAGACCTTCATTAACAGCTAGCTGTCTTCGCTCAATACTCAAGATCAGATGGCCGGTCAGAAAAGATCAGAAACAGGGATCTCTGGGAACGAACCAACCAGGAACCGACTGTGCAACAAATATGCAGGAAGAAATGGAGGTAGGTGGATTGGCTGGACATACTCTGAGGAAACCATCAAGTGAGTGACATCACTAGACAAGCCATCGCTCGAGTGGAACCCGAAAGGGAAGCGGCGAGTTGGTTGTCAGTGCGAGGGTGACTTGGAGGAGGTGATGTGAAGAGGAGATGAAAACGTGCGGGCAGACTTGTAGCCAGGTGAAGACCCTAGCAGACAACCGAACGCAATGGAGGCTTGTGGCTGAAGCCCTATATTCCTCTAGGAATTAAAGGAAACAATAATAATAATAAATATGTTGGTCATCTTGCTGTCACATTGGCAGTTACTTCCCGAGTTGACTGTTCTGAACTGAATTGCTTTCTGTTCGACATTAGCCAGTGGTCTAAGCTTATTGGTCTTAAATTAAATCCGTTCGAATGTCAGACAGTTAATTCCACCTTTATGATCTTAAGGAAGGCATTAGTTCATATGGATGCTTGTAGCTTAGAAAGCACTGATGTAGAGAATAAGTCAAGCATAAAATATTTTGGTATAGTCTTATCCTCTGACATCTCTTCGTCTTAAAATATTTTATTGATCTCTAAGAAAATCTTCCGTCTGACCTTCTACACTAAGATGTTACGATAACCAGGAACCACTCACCCTCCACTTTTACATTATGGGTGAAATTTATTTTGATAAAGTCTCACACAGTGTTGATATACAGTAATATTTAATGATGACCACGTTTCGAGCACAATTTATCTCTGCTCATAACCATATCAAGACACTACTCACACAACTTTCTAACTTCGTTTATATAATTCCATTATTTTTCATTGCTTGATTTGATTGATAGTAGTATTTTCCAAATTTCCGGTATGAGTAATGAGTCATTCCTATTGGGTGTAGACTCGATGAACAAAGTAATATAGCTAGCTATATAAATTTTAAGAATTTTGACTCTGTCCCACACACCGTATTATGAGGTTGTGTGTTAATGCATGCAGTGCAGTTGCTGAGGTTTTTTCTAAATTACTTATCTTCGTGAGGTCCTATGACCCTTGCAAAATCGACGATACTGATATAGAAACCAAATCTGAAGTTAAGTATCTTGGATTAATTCTCTCTTCTGACCTATCCTGGTCCTCCCATGTCTTAGTGATTTCTAAAAGAATATTTCGTCTGACTCTTTACATTAAGAAGTTAGGGCACTCAGGCACAACCTAACCTCCCCTCTTACAGCTTGTCAACTCGTGTATCCTAACTATTCTTCTTTACTGTTCACCCTTATTCTTTCCTGGATTGCTTAAAAAAGACTACGTCATACTTCGTAGAACTATGAAGACTGTCAGTAGGACGAGTGGTATCCCGTTGGGCCATATCGTTGACATTGTCACTGATAGGCACTTGATGTCATGCAACACATTCCCTAAAGGAATTTTGTCAGACTCTGAGCATCCACTCTACCCGCAGCTCCAACCTTGTGTCTCCTCAAGTAAAACAAGAAGTCTTTTCAGAAGAATTTATGCACGTACATCTAAGTATAAAAATTCCACTATACCATATTTAGCACGTACTTTATGGGATGAAAATGGTGTCAGAAATGAAAAAACTAACCTTCTTAGCACCACTAAATAAACCATTTCCTTCACCCTTAAAGCATCAAACTTTATTGTTATTGTTCTTCTTATATTTATAATCCTCTCAATTTTTTGTTTTATTTATTTTATTCATAAGTGTGGATATAATTTAAGCTGTATTATGACTGTTAACTTTGTATTTCCCCTCACTATACTATATAAACAGAACATTAGACCCAATTATCCATAACATGCTAAAGTTTCCAAACTGAATCGACAACACCGTTTGAAACAAACTCACTGTTATTAGTATTTATTATTATTATTATTATTATATTTAATAATCTCAATTGGTGCTTCGAATATTTTTGACTTTATGTCGTAAATGTGGACAAATTCCTTTGGTTAATTTTGTTTAGATTTTAAATTTTATTCATATTTTAAGTAAATCAGATGCAAGGTGTTGTGACAAATGCCTAGAATTCCATTGTGTATTATAATTACTGTGTTTGGAATAAAGTAGATTATTATTATTATTACCTTACCTAAATTCTTATGTTCCGACAATCTGACTACACTGATCTGCTAGTTTGACCTATGTAACTGACCTCACAGTCATTGCAAGATATTTTGTAAATTATATTATTTTGTCTAATTGGGTCAGCTGGGTCCTGTAACCTACACAATTTTTGAAAACGAAATCACCGAAAAGATATTTATGCCGAACTTCGTGTTCTCTTCTTCTTCTTAGCATCACATTTGTGTTTATTTGTCACTTTATGAGGGAGATTGGGTTTGCGACCAGGTCAAATTCTGTTTTAGTTCATCATTCATCCTATTCAAACAATTTGGATTCTATTTATAATATAAAGTACTTCTGATATGAGAAGTTCTTTGTGATTTCTGGGATTTTCATTGCATGTTGTGGCCTGATTCTATAATAATAATGATTTACTTTATTCCAAAACAGTACTTGTGATACAGAATGGAATTCTCAGCATTTCACTACAGTATTGCATCCAGTTTGTACATTAAGAACAAATAAAATTCTATATAGATTATGGGTAGTCTCAATTAATTTCGACAACAGCATATTAGCATATCGGTAGCAAAGCCAAAGGTGAACAGAATGCTTAAATGTGTTGGTAGAAAAGTAGATACTAGCATATTTACTGGCGTAAGCGGTAACAAAAAGGTCGAGATATATTGAGTGTGACAGAACGAATAAGAATGTTTTAAATAGAGTTTGTAAGGAGGAGAGAAACAAAACAGCACATAACAGAAAAAAGAAAACGTTGTACCTATACATGATATGAGTTGGAAGGACGAGATCCAGTTGTTCTACTGACTATGTAATAAGTTACAGGTTTAACGCCTAATGCTTTCTTTATCGCACAGAATACGAGCTAAGTAGGGTATGGTTGAGTTTTTGTACTTGCTCGTGTGAGCATATAGTTTTCTATATAGGCTTCTGGTCGTGCCTGATGAGATGGAAGGGGAGAGTTGTGAGTGAAGAGGGTGGTGTGAGTTAGATAGAATGAATTTAGCCCATTTTTCACATGAATCTAAGTGCCTATCGACCAGAATATTAACAAGCTGGTTAAGTGGCACGTTGCTTACCCTGCTGACAACCTTTAACATCCTGCGTGATATGTTATAGTCCTTCCTCTGTAGCCCTGGAAAAACTAAAGGGGAACAATAGAGAATAATAGGCAGAATGCAAGAGTTAACGAATTGTAGGAGTAAGGGTTGGGTAATACCAGAATGTTTTAACTTCTTGATGTAGAAGGTAAGACGGAATATTTTCTTAGAAATTGCTAAGATATAGGACGACCAGGAGAGATCAGCAGATAGAATGACGCCTAGGTATTTAATTTCCGATTTGGTTTCTATTTCAGTGCCATCTATGTTTTACACCTCGTGAGTGCTAACCAGTTTGTTTAGGTCAGAT